TTTTTTTTTTTTTTTTTTTTTTTTTTTTTTTTTTTTTTTTTTTTTTTTATTCATCATTGCCTGTAGGCTTAGATACAAATCCTTCATTAGTTTGGGTTTGTGAATAAGCAGTCTATCCTTTGTACGTCTGTGTTTCTTTTAATGTGTCACTTAAATGGAGAACTGTAATAGGACCCTAATGACAGTATATAGCTGACTTTGAATCAGATGTAGGAAACATCTTAAACGTTTCATACCGTCTGAATCTCGAAAGCAATGTTTGTTTACATGCTTGACTATGTATGTAAACGTTCACAATGAAATAAGCAAAAAATTATGTGAATAGTTCCATTATAGATAATAGGGGGTCTATTTTTTGAACGTCGATTTTTGGGTACAAGATGCATCCTTATCTTGCCGTAAATGGCACTTTCTGTAACAACTTTATATTTTCCATCAATATGTGTAAATTGCGGCTGGTTCATAAAAAAAATCATACAGAACAACTATAATTATCACATAACTTTTTACCAAATCGAAATTTGACCGAAATATTTCGGATCTCTATGAATTATAAGGTTTCTCATTTTTGTAGAAGTGGTGCCTGGGTCCGTACCATGTAACTTTTTTTTTGCTTTGCAGGCCTATGTTAAAACATAGGCCGACGTACTGAAAAATAGTTACATGGTATGACCCCTGGCGGCTGGTTCAAATTTTGACCACCCTTCGGTCTCAGCTCTTGGTCTAACAGAGGTGGTACGAACCACTTGTCTTATCTTGCACCGTGGTCCTGACATTAACGATTGGTACATCAGAATTCAACAGTGATTTTTTTGTTTAGCTTTTCTTCATACATTTTGGGTTATGTTGTCCGAGGAGATTACTGCTACTAAGAAAATTAAAATCTATCTCATGCATTGTTAAGTTATTGGTAGTTACCCGGTAAATACCTTGTCAGCATTTTTCAGTAATTGTATGTAAGCTACAAAAATTGTTTATTGATTTTTCATCATCATTGCCTTTTGATTGCCATTTTGTAATGAAACAGATTATTTTCAACCCTGCTAATGTGTCAAATTTCTCAATCAAAACGAATCATTGTCGTATTCTGGAGTTTCTGATGTCGATTACAGCTTATACAAAAAGTTCCTGAACATATTTATTTTTCCTTCAGATCAAAGTCCTGTTATCCCTTCAGTTGAGCAATGACCAATCATAGGGATTACTGTTGGTATTTCTGCGTTGAAATTCCCTTAAAATTTGATTAACCACTTGGTTAAATGTAATAGTTACTTAGTCTAAGACTTTGTTGTGATGCTTAACTACTTTATTATACATGTTATATGTATATACATGTAATAAAAAAAAAAAAAGTAATTCGTTACAGAATGGTTTGAGAATGAAGTTTTCGTATGAAATGATTGCAGTAGGAGAACAATAGAAAAAATACTTTTTCATAGGTTGCAAGCTGATGCTTCTCTAAGAGTTATTTTTGAATTTTGGATCATTGAGACTCAAATTACTGTACATCTTTTTTTTAAGTACTAAATAAACAACAAACGGTACTGAAGTTTTTGGTTAGTAAACTTTTTTTTATCTATCTATTAAGTCAAAGTTTTCTTTGGATATTAAAATTTTTTTAACCTTTGGAATAGGTAGTTGACCTATTTAGAAACTATTAGATTCTTTAGAGGCCTAGCTCGGAGGAGCTTGAGGGTCCTTAGTTTTTTCTAGAACACTCGTTTTTTACCTACAAGAAGCTCTAAATTAATCAGAGACATGTCGGTGTCCATTATAATTATAATATCCAACTGAAATCTAATTTTTTTTAACTATTCCAGTTAAGCTAGTTGAGCTTATGATTCTTGTTTGACTTTAAAATGATCATTCATTAATTACTAAATAATATCATGAATTATAAAATAATTAATACTGTAGTGACCTGGATGTTGGTTGTCAAATATTGATAGTAGACGATACTCTCAGCACTGGTCTATGGTGTAAGTGACAGGTCTCCAATAAACCTGCAAACGTACTAAAAAGACTTGTGTTTTTAAATAAAATTACATTGATCGAAGTGTTGGATCATTTTAACTCATAGTTAAGGTAGTCGTCAGCCACTTTGGGTTCAAATAGCTTCAGCAGTTCTTTCTCAGATCGACAAAAACTGCCATTTTTGACCATTTTTTAGAAACTCAATAACTCAAGTTCTGTACAATATTGAGAGCTAAAACTAGGTCACAAGGTAAATATTAGAGTCTTTAATGTAGAGACAAAACTGTAGCTTGATTAGTTTTAAACTTTTCGCGAACTGCAGCAAAAACCGGAAAAATCTGCTGCTACTGCTTTCTCCTTCCGTCTGTTCTGCTCTGCTCGTATGATTTTAACCCAAGAATCTCGTTATTAAATCCTTGAAAAATAACGTTATAATCGTGCTAAAAATTAGGCGTAATGTAATCATATGTTCGGGATTGATTGAATGATGAGTGGACTGTATTGACAAAAAAATGCCGGATCTACCAGATGAGGAGAATATCAGAAAGAAAGGGGTGACCAGGTTTAATTCGAATATAATAATGGAGCACAGCACTTAACAGTTAATTCAAAGTAAAATATATATAATTTATTAACACTGGGTACAATTTTAATAGTGTAGAAATTAAAAGACAGCAATAAATATAAGAGTTTGGTAACAGGAATCACTATGTATATGTATAAACAAATCTTGTTATATAATCACGTGAACTGTTAAATAAAATAGTTTATGAAAGAACTGTGCTTTTGACCGGCAGTGTGCCGAGATCGTGCTGAGAACTCGCGCAATCTTGTGCGCAGCCGGCCTCCGATTGGCCGAGCGACTGCGCGTCGTTTAAACGTCCGAAACTCAAAGACACAGCGCTCAAAGCCCGAACACATGAAACCCAAATGCCTAATCCCCGATAACCCAGTGCGCTAAAGGTAATTTTATGCTATTAAGTCTAAAATACGCACTGTAACTCGACCCAAGTAAAGAATCTCAATGAACCCAATAAAGTTATGTTATTAAAACAACTTTCTACCAATCATCGCTTGAATCCTAAGCGGCTAATCTCCAACGACCCAGTGCGCTTACTTTGCCGCACTTTTTTTTATTTATTAGTAAGCAAATTCTCAAGCGGCTAATCCCCAAGGACCGAGTGCGCTTACTTGGCCGCACTTTTATTTTATTTATTGGTAAGCAAAATCTCAAGCGGCTAATCCCCAACGACCCAGTGCACTTACTTGGCCGCACTTTTTTTTATTATTAATTACCAAAATTCCAAGCGGCTAATCCCCAACGACCCAGTGCGCTTACTTTGCCGCACTTTTTTTTATTAATTAGTAAGCAAAATCCCAAGCGGCTCATCCCCAACGACCCAGTGCGCTTACTTGGCCGCACTTTTTTTCATTTATTAGGAAGCAAAATCCCAAGTGGCTCATCCCCAACGACCCAGTGCGCTTACTAAGCCGCACTTTTTTTTTATTATTAATTACTAAAATTCCAAGCATCAAATCCCCAACGACCCAATGGGATCACATACCACGATTCATTATTAATTTGAATATCAAATAGATTTCGGTTGATTTAAGAAATTAATAACAAAGAAAAGGAAGTCTCAGCATAATATGGAGTAGGCCAAACTTACAGAATCATAACGACTCTGCACACTTAAAAGCTTCGCTTCCTAAAGGAAAGAAAAGTTTAACATCTGAGTAAGTACGATTAATGCTAAATTGAGAATAAAATTTAAATAACGAAAGCATACGCAAGGAAAGGGTAAGCTACGGTTGATACTATCAACATATGGAAGTTTTTAATCCCTTATGTCGTGTAGTGCACTAGCTCATTTGGTTACGGAGTATATTTTGGAACCAGAAATTGTGAGTTCGAGACTTAAAACTTTTTTTTTTTTTTTTTTCTTTATTTTTTACTGTGTTTGTAAATATTTTCAGATATTTATTTATATATTAGTAACTACATACAAGCATGCATGCATAATAATCTAATTCGAGTAACGCAATAACTTCTGTTCACACATTTTTAAAAAAAATTTTCTTTTATCTAAACTCGAAGGAATTTAATCATCGCTCGCTGACCAATACGTTTATTGCCTGCACTTTTGTCTATTTAATAAATAAACAAAGCTTTAAGCAGCTAATACCTAATAACTTAAAGCTATCGCTTGGCCCAACATTCATTTATTTATTTATTAATCTTTTAAAATTTCAAGAGTCTTAGCCTAAGTAAGTTAAAGCGCTCGCTTGTGTGCGCTTTCATTTATTTGCGAAGTATGTTGCATTTCGAGAGCGTTTTCTACTGTCAAGTAATTCGAAGTGCTTCCTTGTCCACAGTATTAGTTTTTTATTAAGTATTGATCGTTTCAGAGCCTTATCCCAAGAAATTTGAATTGCTCGATCGTGTGCGCTTTTATTTATTAAGTGAATACACTCATGTATATAATGAACTAAACAATTATAATAACCTAATATAAAAAGCTTTATACAGTTGTAATATAATTTTAGAACTGTTCTTATGTTTGTTTATGTTTCTTTTTGGTTGCTACTTTTTTAATTTTTTTCTTTATGAGACAGGTTTCCACACCACCGAAGAGGTACCGTCTATGGCGCGGTGAATTTTTTATTGAAACTATTGTGTTTTTTGCTAAAGTGTCTTAAGAATAATAATGTTTTGACATATTTTTAGAATACATAACATGTCATATTTTTAGTTTAAAAAAAAATTTAATTCAGTTTACTTACACATTAGTTTCAACTGTGGACTTCCCACGCCAAGAGACCTTTTTTTGACTTATCCATCTTATTTCTAATTCTTTGGTAATGTTACTTTAATTTGGTAATAATACTCTTTTCCTTAGTCAGTAAAGTTTAAGATCTAGCAATAATTTTCTAATTAAAAAGATCTCTAAGCCCTAAACCACTTAAACTTACTGCAAGAATACTGTCTCTAGTATCAAATCAGAATTTATTGAAACAAAATATATAGCTAAGTTAGTCGAAAATTTACTTGGAGTACATATTAGCACTGTTGAATTTATTAAAATGGTTTTCCGTTAATACTAAGTTTTCACAATTAATATTATACGCTTTTCCGTACGATTACAAAAAGCATCGCGCATTAAGTAAAGGGATACTAGTTTGATTACTTTTTTCATCCTTAATTTCATTTACAGCAGAAAAAGTTTGCTCAGGTTCCGCGTTTGAGTGAGGTATAGCGAAAATTAATTTAACTAAAGATGTTAACGCGGGATAAAGACATTTGTTTGCCTGATTCTTTAAGTTTAAGATTTTACTCCAAAAAGTTTCCGTATCAAAATTCATTAATAAATGTTTTTCCTGCTCGTTAAACTTTGTATGAATATCTTGCCACTCATTAGCAACAGTTTCGGCATCTAAAAATGGAAAATACTTTAAAATAATATTTAAATTTGGATATGGTTGTCGTTCCGTTACATTTAACACTACTTGTGTGGATTGTATTGATAAAAAAATGCCGGATCTACTAGGTGAGGAGAATATCAGAAAGAAAGGGGTGACCAGGTTCAATTCGAATAAAATAATGGAGCACAGCACTTAACAGTTAATTCAAAGTAAAATATATATAATTTATTAACACTGGGTACAATTTTAATAGTGTAGAAATTAAAAGATAGCAATGAATATAAGAGTTTGGTAACAGGAATCACTATGTATATGTATAAACAAATCTTGTTATGTAAATCACTTGAACTGTTAAATAAAATAGTTTATGAAAGAACTGTGCTTTTGACCCACGTGAGCGAAGGCAGCTGCGGCTTAATTGACTGCCTGGCTCAAGCGTGGTAGGCGGACTGGCTGTTGCTAACAGACGAGCAGTCACAAGCAGCCAAAGTAATATATATGTATCTGACGCGGAGCTGTATGAT